TTTGTACTTATACTAATTCTGACTATCTCTTTTCATTTTTGGTATGAATATGATGTGCTATATAATTTTTAAATTGACTTACAAAGCGTGATTAATTAAAGTCTATTCTTTGTTAATTCTGACTCCGATTGCAAGTTTTTCTAGTTGTATGTACATACACTCTAGCAGCAGGCATGATGAGACATCTCATGTGGTCGTACTTAATATTGACTAGAACTGTGATATACAGCCTAGCTGCCCAGATACTGTTATTAAATGACTAATTAAAAATATGAAAAGTTGAAAGCATGAAAGTTTTGAAGATGCATCATCAGACACGTTAAGTACTTTAAGACAATAATGCATTTCATGACTGGTTGAAACGACACAAGAAAAACCTTCTTAAACGTGGACCAGTAGACATTTCTTCAGAGGATGAAGATGAAACAATTTAACTGCATTAAAATAATCATTGTGATTGAATACAAACTAGCACCTTTTCAACAATGTGTTTAATGACCTTGTGACAAAGAGTAAATTGGATTAAATTTGATCTTGTTAATGCTCAAATTCAAAATTGACCAATTGTAAAAACAAGTAAGCTTATTAGAACACATCGCTGTAAAGGTGTCATTTTGCCATTAATGTTTTACATGATATAAATAAATATGTATATATAGGTATAAAAGTTGAATTTAAGTATTTACAATCTGTATTATGTTTACACAATTGCAAGAAAATGTCAACCCAACATTGTTGATGTGCTGTCTCTGATGGTTCCCGTGAAATGAATTGTGTTAATATTCGACATATAAATTATAAAAACATTAAGGTACAATGTAAGCTCATTTTTAACACCAACTGATCATATTTGGAAACCAAAATAATTGTGCCTTAATGGTCAAATAACTTACATACCGGTATCTAAAATGCACTCGATACATTCACAAGTTTTCTTACACACACTGCAACATAAATGTCCAGGTGAGACAGGTACTGGCAGTTTGACATCCAAAAACTGTAGGAGTAAGCATCGCAAGCACTGATCATTGCAATGGCAGTATGTCCTTACTACTTCTTGGAAACCTGGTTTGTTCTGGGCAATATCTCTGTTACTGTACTACCTCCTCCGCAGGCCTTGCAAAAATATAAAATTGGTGGCAAACGAACCGAAAGGCCTGCCGACTAATTTTCCAAAATGGCGGGAGCAACAAACCAAATTATATTTAATATATCATTTTACCAGAACAATATAGACCGCTTTTCGTATCTGAAATATACATAGGAACAGTGAACACTGAACAAACAAGCAGATATAATGATTTACAAAGAGAAGCAGATAAATATGAAATATCAGTTTATAATTTGCATATTACAAACACGCAGGGCTTTTATGTAACACGTCGTATGTCAGGCATGCGGCCCTTTATCCATGAAATTTATTCCATTTATACTTGTCTTTTATACAGTGTAACTATTTAAATGCGTGTGTAGATAGTCAAAACATGACATTTGGCCAAATGATAGATTCACAACGTCTATTATCACTGTCGCTTGTGCTTGTAAAACCCTCCATTATTTGAATCTCTTCGTCTCTTTTACCAGCAATAACTGCCAAGATGTACTTAGAAAATACTCGCAAAACGGGATTGCTAAAGATTAGCAGACGATGTGCCATATTTTTGAAGAAATTTGACCCAACCGAGTAATCGACACAAAAAGCCAAGTAATCGACATGTTATTCAGCAGGCCTTACAGCTTCTTCGTCTCAAATTTCAACCTGCAAACGGGCATACTCATTACGGGCTGTATGGCCTGCGGAGGAGGTAGGTTACTGTAATAGAGGATAGCTTTTGAAAACTTACCGTCTCTACCTGCTCTACCAGTTTCTTGGAAATACTCCCTTATCGTTCTGGGCGGTCCAATATGAATAATTTGCCTAACCACATTTAATAAAATAAGATTGTTTGGCTAGCCGGCAAACTTTAAAGGGTTTTCGAAAGCGGCGGCAAATACGTTGAGGCACAAAGGAAAAAATGTCACATGATGAGATAAGGGGGCGATTGTCTCTAATACATAAGGGATTATATTACAGCTGGCAATCTTTTCGTCTTTTCTCGCCAAAATATTGCACTAAATTAATTCAGCTTTCTGCGATATTAAAGTATAACTAAGTAAGGGTAATGGACGACGATTTGGAGGCAATTGTGTCGATTCCGGAAGAAATAGAAGGCGAATGTACTTCGAGTTTTGTTGGCGAGGAGTGTGGGTTTGCCGAAGGTGAAGATATTTTGCCGTTTAACTTTGACATCATTTTGTCTGTAGTCGAAGGAAGTGAAGACGCGATAGAAGAAGAGATTGATGATGCTATAAGCGAAATATCCGGTGAAAAGTGGTTCCCTTGCAGTAGCTGCAAGAAGATTTGTAAGTCGAAGGGAGGGTTGACTAGACATATAAACGCAAAACACAAGAACAAAAACGCACGTGGAAACAAGAACGTGGCTTTATCAGAAGATAGAAGAGATATATATAAGAGCTATCCTCTATTGTAGAAAAAATAAAGGCAAAAATAACTAAGGATGGTTTCTGGCACGGTGAAATGACTGCAAATATGGCGAGTATATCATCGAACGATATTCTATACAACCATATACAGCCAATTTATGAACGATTCTGTCGCAAACGAAACCAAGACAAATTTTTAATGGAAGTTTATGAACTTATTCCAGAGTCGTCTGGCATATTGCAATCTAAAAACCAACAATTATGTAGTCTTGTAATGATATCCATGCCAGACTATTTAGTGTCGTTGTTCAAGGGGTGTGTTACTGGTCAACAACAACAGCCCTCTACTTCCAGTGGCAGTGAGACTGGTGTTAGTGCTGGTGTTTCATCAGAACTCAATGAACATGAACAGGGGCCTCTATCCTATATAGCAGATTATGTGTTGTTTAATCTGAGGAAGAAATCTGTCCAAAGAAAGAATGACGAGCTTCAAACAATATTACAAAGCATGATTTGCCCTGATGTGGAAAATTCTTACATCGAGTCTCGCAGCAGAGGCGGACCGGTGACACCATCTCAAGATCTTGTGCGGGTATTAGAGGTTGTTGAGAATTTATTCCGAGAATTTATTCAGAAACAGACCAGTGTTGTGAAGAGTATTCCGTGTGAAAAGTTATGCAATGATGCACTCGACTTGCCATTGTTGAAATCACTATGGGAAAATATTATACAAGACTGTAGTCAAGAAACGTCAAAACAAACAAAAAAGCTTTGCCTGGAAAACATAGTAAAGCTGTATTTAAGGGTTCGAAGTTTCTCATATGCGAAAGACTATATCAGCAATTTTAAGATGCAGCAAAAAGCAGTAAAGAGCAAAAGTCTTCAAAAACGTGAAGCAAAAGTCTTCAAAAATGTATCTTTAGCAGAAAGTATAATAAGGCTATTTGGATTTAGGGTTTGGATACCATGATTAAGAAAAAATACGCAATTTCGGCCATTTTTCGATTGCGAAAATCGGTCCTCACAGCTGAAATATTTTTTTGCCTTTTTTTCATAAACAAAAGAGTATTTTTAAAAACTAACCATATGACGTTTCATACTTTGTCATAGTTAACTTAAATTCAAAAGTAGAGCGAATTTAGAATTTTGAGCCTTGCCGCGGTATGTTTGATTTTTGTAGAGACTCACTCTTAAGCGCTCATCTTCAGGACTCTAGGGTTTGATCCTTTCATTCCTCTTTCTTTCATGCTCGGATGTAGATCTCACATTTGTACAATCGAAAAAATCGTTGACCATCTGGCAGAACATTGCAGTACCAACAACACTGGGATCATTACATTCCAAAAGGCAAGTTGAAACTGTCCTGCTCAAAACCTGGACAGCAAGTTTCACCTTCATCTTTGAAAAACTGGTCAGCACAACATGGTCCAAAGTCAGTTTAGGTAATCTGTGAAGGGCAAACTCTTGATTGCGGTAATACATATCACCTATATGCCTAAATAACAGATGCTGGCCATTGTTCCACATATATCGACTGCATGATCCAGACCCAGAGTTATAAAGGCAGTTTCCCGCAGTCTTTATCAAATAAGGTACATCAGCGAAGAAGTAAATGATTCGGGTGAGACAGAAAAGATTGGGTGTTTTGTACACAACACCGTCAGGGAGTACACCACCAAGTTTTGCATGAAGGGTAAAAAACTTCCGATTTGGAGATGCACCATCATTCACAGCTGCAATCACCTTTAACTTTACTGTGGTTTCAAGCACTGCAACAACTTTCCAAAATAATGGCATTAATTGGAACGATGTTACATTGCCAGTAAAGAAATAGGCGACAATATGCTTGAGATGGGTAGCCAATCCTCTCATTGACATTAGCAAAGGTAGTTAATGGATCACCAAGATCAATAAAGCCAATCAGTTCACCTGATGATTTGTCGAAAACGAGATTCTCTTGAATTTTCATTTCGTCCATGACAACAGCGACATATTGTTGAATGCCAGTGTATGTTGATGTTTTCTCTTTGAGTTCCTCAATGTTCTCTTTGGTTATACCAGCTCCCGGTTTAAAATAGTTTTTATAATCTCTAAATAGTTTTTATAATCTCTATAATCTCTCTTACCTCTCTATAGGCTGATGGGGATTTGCAATGAATTGACAAGGCAAATCGAATGACTTGTGGGTGGTATCTACGTCCCATTTTATTCGTTTGCAAAAGACGCATTTGCTGTTCCCAAAATAACTTCATATGAGGTGTTGAATCCAGATTCTGTCCACTCATTATGGTCAACAAATCTTTCTCTAGTGGCTTACTCACATTGACACCATGCTTTTCTATTTGCCGTTGCTTGTTTTCAAGTCTTGCCTCAAGTCTTTCAATTGGACACGGTCAGCTATCACTGTTGCTCGAAGCTTCTCAGCACCACATGCAACCAAAGGAGCTTTATCTCTTGCAGGGGCACTAGATGTGTGCTCCTTCCTCGCTTGCTGCTGGTTTATTCTCTTCTGAAGCTTGAGGCAGGTCTCACAAATCACTTGCTCCTTACTAACATCTTTATCAAAAAGGACCATACAATCAACAGAGCACAAGATCACCATGACTCTATAATTTGTCTCCATACCAATGTTCTTTGGGACAATATGGTGAACAACATCGGAAACACTGTATGCACTGTGGCAATAGGATCATTAGCCATAGAATTCAGATAATCATTTTCTCACAAACCTTCGCATATCTTGTATTCATTGTTTGAAATACACTGCAGAGTTAATCCTTCATCTGTAGCTTGAATAGATTTTGTGCTGATCAGGGAGAAGCCAATTGAAAACATGCAGAGAAAAATGTAAACACGAATCTATGATCAGGACGTATTTTGGTATCGAATGCTCGCTGTCACAAAGTACAATCCTGATTTCGGTATCGTTAAATTCTGCTAGCGTCCAAGGGTTGAGTGAAATTTCCTTCAGATGTCTTGCGAATTCATCAAACGTTTCCGTTTTCGCGACGGGGGGCGAAGGAAATGCAAGGCTTTCTGACGAAGGCCCACTTTGATGTCGTACAAGAACACGATGTGTGCTACTGGACTTCGTTTCGTGGCTTCTCACCGGAAGATTTTCAGTAGGAACAGCTCCCGTATCTAGCGATTTGCGTTTCCCATCTGCAAAGAAACAAAACTGTTAAACCTTTACTAAACTATTAAACCTTCAATATGAATGTTTAATTTATATGCCGCTATAAATATTCAATGAATTTGAAACAAAAACCGTATCATTAAGTATATCGTGCATAATAGAAATGACTCGATACTTACGATCAATGATAAACTCTGCTTTAAAATGAAGTTCACACAAGAACAGATTATTAGCATCTATTCTTTTCTTCAAATCTGGGGTCAATTCTCGGGATCATAAAATCACACGAAGCCATTCTTTGCGGGCAGTTTCCTTCTTGGCCTTCGTTTCGTCTCCATCAGCCTTCCCAACAGAAGGTATTTTAAACAAAGAAAGATTGCTCGTTCGGCTAGTCGAACAACCAAAGAGTGCGCAGTTGGAACCTGTCATAGTCTAGCTACAGAAAAAACTATGAAATTCGCTGAAAAAAGCAGTTTGCTTGAAGATTTCGATGTAGCAATAACTCCCGTCTCATATTAACTCTATAAATTGTTTTCACTCACCCCCTTATGTCGTCACGTGACTGTCAATTAAGGAGAACAATAACATTTTTTTGGGGGGGGGGGGGGGGGGCGTCCGGCTAGCCAGGGGTGTCCTGTAGCAAATACCACTCTGAGGTTTGATTTCTCTGAATTCAGCTGGCATAATATTCCTTCATACTAGTTGTTTGGGGTGCATGGAATTGGGCAAATAGTCGGTTTTTTGGAACAGGTGAAGAATTGGATGGGTAGTACTGATACAATCCCATGGTGCTCTCAAACAGTCTATATACAAACCCACACCATTTAAGTGGCATATATATGATTGTCAATGGATAGTTG